ATTTTTTTTTAATTTCAGAAATGCCTTTAATTTTATTCAACATTGAAAATTTCCGACAAAAAAATTTCGACCTACCTATACCGACGCCAATTATTTTAGTCCGAACAGTTAAAGGGCAAACAAAGTTTTTTTTTTTTTTTTTTTTTAAAAAAAACGGCCTTTCGGGAATTTATTAACCACGACTGGACATCTTTAATAATAAACACTTAATTGTGAAAAGGAAAGATCACACAGACACTTGACAGAAACTAACTTCTTAAAGAATGAAGTACATCAAACCACACCCAAAAATCTTCCTTCTGGCATATAAATAATCTCCTTGTTTTGCTGGGGTAGAATTTCTCAATTTTCTCGAGGAGGCGTTTTTACGTCGATTTTACCTTGTTGATTTTAGACGCGTCTTTTGACGTTACGTCTTAATAGAGATAAGGGAGGTTTTTGCTTGGCGCGTCACATATATTCTAACAACCCTTCGAGAATTTTTCATCCATATTTAGAACTACAAAAACCCTGTTCTCTGAACTTCAATTAGTCTTTGAGTCGTAAAGAATATTTTTCGTGCCAGATGCTACCGCAGCATGGGACGTCTTTTGCGGTCTCACCTTTAGGACTGGTCTCTATGCCAAACAGTGTATTTGATCTCAAGACTCAAGCACACACGCAGATCTAGAGGGCAGGGCGCCCCTCCCCCCGGAATTTGTCGAGTTATAAGATTTATATACTTAACCAAGAAAAAAGTGACCTAACCAAGAAAAAAGTTACCTTGGACCCACCCACCCTCAAGAAAACGCAGATCCCCCGTAAAAAAACTTGGATATGGTTAAGTTGGTATGAAAAGTCATAGGTATGAAGAAAATTTGGAAGTTAACGACTACCCCCCCCCCCCTTGCTTGTCAACAAATTTCTGGGTTAGTTTTTTTTTTTTACTTGGGTGGACCCCCCTCCCGTGGAAAAAAAATCCTGGATCCGCGCCTGATTATCTTAATGTTGATGATTTTACATAAAATAATTTCAATAAATTTTAACATTGAACAAATCATGCAAAAGATTGTGCATAATTTTTTTGGCTTGTCAACAAAGAACAAAAGTCAGAAAGTACAATATACGGCCTGTGGATTTCTTAAAAAATAAATCATTGTTTTCTTAAAAACTCTTTGTGGTTTCCGTATCTACTTGACTTCGTCAATGCAGGGGTGGGTAGATTTAGTCAAACCGGACGTTGACTTTTGCATCGTAACGGCTAAAACCTATATAGGTTTTGACTTTTCCGGAATTTTTCCCTGATCTTACAGATTTAGTTTAAAATTTCAAGTGGGGCGCATTCCTCTCGGAAAAGAATTCAAGTATAAAATGAAACATTGATATCTTACGCGTATTTTTCAACAAGTTTTTTTTTCTCCGAGAGGAATGCGCCCCATGTGTAAAATTAATATTTATGATTCTCGTTTGCTCAGCTGGCGCATGCAGAAGGCAAATTTACCTTTATATAATTCCATGTTATTATAACCTCGCACTGCAATGATTAAATCTTTCATAAAAAAAAGTTACTGTAAATTATGTACACACAACCATAAATCTTTTTTTAGCATAAATACATTATTTATGCGTGGTAAATAGGGTAGCTAAATAAATTTTAATAGCCTAGTACTTAGTTCAATTAAAAACATAAAAAAGTAGATATGTATTCGCTTTAGTCTGTGTTTTCCACATCTGCATGTCTGTTGTGGACCATTGTTTAACAGAAGCCCTCCACGGTAGCCAGGTTATAACCAGAATAGGTCTATTTACTTTGTTGTTTTTTTTTTAACATTTGACAAGTCAATTTTTTTCTCGTGACGTCACAATGTGCAGAAAATGACGTCAAAGTTTTAGGGAACTTCAATATTTTTCGTACTCGTAATGATTGTAGATCAACAACTCTAGATGTTCAAAAAATATCAATTTTTGAAAAATGTAATGCTGAAAATTTAAATAAATATAACATTATTACTATTTAAAGTTAGTACATAGGCTTACATGTACTCAATATATTCTGTATGTAACATAATCATTATCACGCATCGGGTAGCTAGATCGCGAGCGATTAACTTATGTCTGCAATAACATAGCTAAATACAGGTCAGATGTAGATGTTTACTGAATCTTTTTATGAGTAGATTTTGCTCAGACGTTGATATTTTTCATTTAATCTGAATATCAAAAGGTAGACAGCATGTTCCATAGAGCGTGCACGGGGGTGAGAGAGGGGGTACTAATATTTCAATATATAGATTATGCTTTTTAAAAATCATTCTTAGTAAATGACCCAATATATTCATCAAATCGTGATTTTCAAGTATATCAGCCCAAGTCTGTGGCCTCGTTTTCCATGTGTATGCTAAAATAGGGTTGGGGGTGTCTATTACTGACAAACAAAATAAGAACATATGTAATAGAAATACTGTAATATTTACCCGGCCTTTACAGAAATAATAAATTTATCAATTTATTATCAGAATAATCTCAGTCCATGCGTAAAATATCACGCGGTACCTCTTTACTTATGCCTAGGTCACATTTAAGCCGATGGCCGGGCGACTAAATTTTCTGGTCTTGTCGGCTGAAAGAACAGGATCGGCCGACACAGTATCGGGCGACACGGAGCAGTCACATAATTTCCTAGGGACATCGATGACTTGGATAAATAACTCAATTTTTTTTTCTTTAGAAATCAGCAATATTTTTTGATAGATCTATATTCAGATAGGTGACGTGAGTAATGTTTGCAAGGCAAAGTGGCAGAATCTTATAAAATTGTGACTCAATGTTGAAAATGTGTGCAAAATTTGTATGGAATTGCATAAAAACGACAAATGGTGCATATCCAAGCAGCAAAGAATGCTTAAAATTTCTTACGGATTAATAATTTATGTTATCTCCGTTCAAAAAAATTATATCAATCCATGCATCAAAATTTTGTTTGTGTTATGTAGCCTTAATAGGTTAAATATTCACAAGTCGGCCAATCGTCGTCCGATCATCGAGCTCTGAGCTACAGTTTGATTTTAACCGTCGGCCGAAGTTTTCAACACCCTTATTGTCCAACGACGGACGACCGACTTTATAAACTGACAGCCGATGGTCGGACGATGATCTAAGGTTGGTCGACGGATAACTGCACTTGAAGAAATCGGCCACCGACGCATGAAAAATTATAACTTGGACCGAGGGACACAAAATTGGTCGGCCGACAAAAAAATAGGTCAAAATCGGCCAAGACAACGGCCAATGAACTGACGACTGTCACCCGAAGAATCCCATTTTTGCTTCAAAACCCGTCGGCCGTTGGTCGTTTTTGGAAATGTGACTGGGGTTTTAGAGGTCTTCTTTGTTGGAGAATGCGTATGGAACGCCGGGACTGTCTTACATATGAGGAATAAACATTTTACGCAGTGTTCTATACGCTATAAGTGGTACTATTATTATTTTAACATTTAACGCCCCCCCCCCCCCCGTTGCTACGTTCTTGTACTTGGCTTTATATATACAGGTTGATTAAAATATCAAATGCATTAAGAAATATCAAATGCATAAACTTTGTGTAAATAATTAATGAATTTATTATTTTACAAAATTATCAAAGTCAAACAATGAAACGTTAGAATGTATCTAATTATTTACGTATACCGGGATAAGCACACGGGCGCTGAACGGACACGCTGTCATTTTCACTTGTACATGTACCTAAGCTTGTTTATACCTGACGTTATAATTTCAAATAAAGTATCTTTTATTAACAAAATATCAAAGCACTATCTGTAATATATTGTAAAATATTTACATTTGCTGTGTTTTTCTAGTAAGCCAACTGTGAAATTGATTTGAAAACCATTTTTGTGTATACTCACGCGTAGAAATATACACGGAGAAACGTGCGCTAACGTGACGTCACAATGAGGCTACAGCGAGGTTAGTAAAATGCAAAAATATAGGGCAGCGGGAAAATCAAATATTTAGTACATTTGAATTGCTTCTAAACATGTAAAATGTAAAATTTAATATAAGGAATGTTTTTTAAGTTTAGTGTGAATTATTGGCATGAGAATCACACAGACTTGCACGTAGGCATATTTTTCATGAAGCGCTATCGCGCTTCATGAAATATGCCTACGTGACAAGTCTGTGTGATTCACACACCAATAACTTACACTAAACTTAAAAACATTCCTTAAATACATTTTTGTGAAATTCTCATCAATTAATAAATAATTTACCACTTTATTTATGAGAACTCGGAAGTGTTAAAATTCACAATGTCATTATGACGTTCCGTAAAATGTACGAAATTCGGCCACATACATATGCTATTTTAAAGACCTCTTACGGAAAATATGAAAGAGATATTGAAAAAAGAAAGTTGTTTTGAAAAAATATATAGTCTGTAGATATATCCAGAGCAAAAATTGTCCTATTATGAAATCAGGCCAATTTGTTTTCTTTTTGACTTAGGCTCTTTCTGTGTTGAATTTTTTTTTCACTGGGGTGGACTCCCCCTGGAAAAAATTCCTGGATCCGCGCCTGTCACTTTTAATAATGTGTCACGCGTAGAACTATCCAGATAGAAGAAAAAAATCATTTTATCTGTATTTTTAAAATTCATATAAATTTTACATTTAATAAATTACCTTGAAGTAAGTTTGTGGAGTCAATTTGTTTAAAGTTTTTTTTTTGTCTATAAAAGTTGTAAGTAGATTCCTTTTTTCAAATAATTATTCATGAATTATTCATCGATGTACATTAGAAAGTCGGATGTATTATTGTATTGCTTCTGTTTTATCCCCCCACCCCACCCAAAAAACAAACAAACGAACCTATGTCCTGTGAACATGCAATTTGAAAATAGGGCCTTTTGAAGACAATTGACTTTTTTTGTAAAGGAAGCAAGGATTGATATTTCCTGTTCATGCTGTAAAGTTTCGATCGTACTCTGGGCCAGAGTTTTTGGCACACAATAATGCAATAGGAGGTTCATCTTTTGTTGTTACATTTTTTATTTGATAAATTCGTGTAATATTACACTACATTTTACAAGTGATAAAAGGAAACGGACACAAAATTCAAAGAAATAATATATTTTCGAAGCTTTACCCAAATAATAAAACTGTTTTATTTTTCCTACTCTGCACTATGGATTCAGTAGTTGAGCATCGCTCTGTCTTTGTTCCACTCATCTCGCACATAATTGTTAAATTTAAAGCAGGACTTAAGTGCTCTGACAGTAATAAAAGTAAGTACATAATAAATATTTTAAATTACTTGTAAATTCTTCCTTATCTTTATGTATACTGACGTTTTCAGGCTACAGAAGTATTTCCTGTTTGTGTTTTATAAGGACCGGGACGAACTCTCTGCTTTTATTGTGTTATCTTCTACCCGCAGGTCAGCTGATTTGGTAAGATTTTTTATCCTTTTTTGAAGAGTGCATCTTTTATCATACGAAACGAAGAGTACCTTAATGTGTCAAAAAATATTTCTTTCTACGCTAAAAAAGTGAGCAATATTTTACTACCATGCTACCATGTAATATGTATTAAAGAAAGTTTGGGAAAATAATTTAACCACGTTTTCTTCACTGAAATAGACTAGTAAAAAATAAAACAATTGAATTTTTAGACAATGAATGCCAAAAACAACTGAAGGTACAATATTTTATTAAATCTACTTGATAATATTAAAATACAGGCTGGGTATTGGCAAGAAATTTCGTATTGATATATATATATATATATTACGATACGTGTAACTATATGTATTGCGATAATTTCAACTTAATTAAAATGGCATTTTTTCATTATAATATTAACTTAAATTTACATGCAGAGTGTACATAACTATGATAAGTGACCAAAAGGGAAGAGAATTATGTTGATTTAATTACAGATATATATTGAAATACATGTACACCCATAAACAGTTTCTGTCTTAATTTTTTGTTTTCTGACAACTTTTCTTAGTATTTATAATGATAGAGTTTTTGAGTCCAAGCATTTTGCCGGTATATCGGTATTACAAGAACGGAATATATCGAAATATCGATATTTTTGTGCAGCCCAAATTAAAATAAAATAAATACTGATTTATAATTTTAGGCACATAGAAAATAAATAAACAAATAACAAAAAAACGTACATATTTTTTTTTATACATTTTTTTACTTTATTTTCTATTTTTCAACAATGTTAATTTTAGCTAGGTACATGATCGGAAAACCAATTTCCCTTAAATACGGACATAGAAGTTAGCTATAGGTGACTTTATACACAACTCCACATTCTAACAAAGCGTCCTTTTGGCCAAGAATAATTTCAAGAACTTCCTGAAATAATGTGATTCATTTTATTTTTAAAAAATCATACACCTTAATTCTGTTCTTTTTAATATAAAAAATAAAATTTGTTTTACTTCTGTTGTATTCTTACATATACGTATTCATCTCTATGACGTGTCTTATTTACGACAGAATTAGCGAAAACTGGTGGTGTTGTTGAGGAAGGATTAGAAGATATAGGTTTATTTTTCCTATTATCATGCTATCAGTTTAGCGAATCATCGTGAAAGTCTTTGACTTGTGCTTGAAAACACGTATATCTGACTATTGCCGGGTTTAATCTATGGTTTAGAATAAATAAATTTTGAACTAAACATTGATTTTAAAATAATAAATCTGTTTTATAGTTCGCATAAGAAGATACCATGCTCATAGGTTTAGAATTTCTAAGTAAACTCGTTGTCTCAATTATACTTGATTTTATTTTGATTATTTCATACTAAATATAAAAGTTTCATTTCTCACGATTTTCGGTTGAAAAGAAACCAATCGTAAACACGTCAAATATATTTGAGGGTGATATTCAAGGAAATAATTGTATTATTTCTTGTTCTCCTTGTTTTGTTTTATACACATGTTCAATGTCTTTTATTGTTAGCAAATTTTTTTTGGCAGGGTCAGGATGATTCTTACCAAAATCTTTTTGATCTTCTTGACCCTGGATAGCGCACGTAAGCTTCACAATCTTTTTTTATATTTAAATACATTGCATGAACATGATAAAGATACAAAAGAATTCCATCATCGCAAACACGGCCTTAATGTACGATCCTCTCCCATTCTGGCAGTGGTTGAATGAGAAGAGAATATTTCGGAGATCATTAAAATATTGACCAGTGCGAGTAAAGCATAGTCGGAAAATGAACTTTGATGCGACCTTTCAATATCCAATCGCAGTGTACGAAGTATTTCTTGTATACTGTGACGTCAATATTGTTGATATTAATTTGCGATGGAAACAAAACTTGTCAATGACTGAATATGACGTCACAATAGAGAGGAATAAATATTCAAGATTACGACATTTTTTGTGACCAATCAGCCATAGGAGATATATATATATATATGCGGACTCCGGCCGTGGCTTGAGACGATGAGAGAATTTCTAGATTTGAAAAAAAAGAAATCAGTGATTTAATAGAAAACGTAAATCACACTATATTTTCTATTGTTTATTTTATAAATGTATTGGTATTTAAAAAAAACTGCAAAACTAAATTAACTACAATTAAACGGTTTTCTTTGATCAAATTACACCAAAAATCATTTAGATATTTTTTGTCTCTTGAAGAACTGTTAAGTCTATGATTATGCTAACTTAAAACAAAACAACCCTACGCTAACAATTTCTTTAAGAGCAAGTATGACCTTGTTCCATTCATTTACTTTTAGAACTGTCAATCATTGTAAATCCTTCACCAGTTGCAAATGTGACATATGGAAACCCTTTATCCTTCCAATGTATATTTCCACCGAATTGGGCATCGGGTAGTCTGAATATTCCTGGAGAAATGGGCTTCAAATTTGCCATATTTAAAGGTGCATGTTTAGTTCCCTCGGATAAGCAGGCCGATTACAGCGTAAGCTGTGATGGAGACACAATAACTTTTGGTATACAGCGACCTTCAGATGGGCAAATATGGCGCTGCACTTCTAGTGATGCCAACAATTTCAATGAACATGGCACAGTAACAGTCAGTCTGCAACCGGGTATTTCTTTTTGAATTTTTTTCCTTCTCTATATAATTATTTCAAATTGAAAGTATACTGTACATAAAACTACTATGGTACATGAAATTTACAGAAATATAAATCTGCTCCATCAAATTTATTTCATTCAGCATAAATCATTTCAGATTCGGGATGCTGAAGTAATTATCCAAACGCGTTTTCAACTACCATTTAGCATAACTTTCAGACGTTAATACAGTGAACTGAAGCTCTCCGACAAAATAAAACCGTCCGATCTGTCAATATATTTTATCAAAGATCTACAGTTCTGCAGCTAAGTCATTACGAGAAATGGTAATAAATGGTTAAAAAACAAACCTTAACCAAGACTTCTTTATTATTAATCTTATAGATCCACCGGTTATAACGCTCCAAAACACAGCATACAGAATCAGAGAAGGTTCCAACTTAACAATTCCGTGCACATTCAGTGGTGCACCCATATACAATGTCACATGGGAACATGACACTGGCGTAATACACTGGTCAAATAATAACAATCCATTGTTATTGAGTTTCAACAACATTTCTAGATCAGCTTCAGGACATTATACCTGTAACGTTGCTGTTATCTTTAAGGGAAATTATACCGCCTCGAAAACAGTCAACCTTGTCGTGGAGTGTAAGTTACTTAAGAAAACATTATAAGTAATTAATACAAACATGTTTACATTTATTTTTATTTAAATCTTTCATTAAATAAAATTGAATTAGCATCTATTTTTTTGCATAAACTAAGTTATAACTTAAGAAATTCTGAAACAATAAATAGTTTTGTAAGAAATGTACTATTCCCTTTAAACAGTGAGTGTAATAGTTTAATTATCATTTGGTATTTTCAGATCCACCCACACTTAAATCAAGCAACGACACCACCACGAATGAAGGAGGAGGTATTATAACTTTTACTTGCGATATCTCCTTGGATGGAATTCCAAGAAATTATAGTGCACTATATTGGCAACACTGGATAGGAAACAAGATGATTAGAGAATTACATTCCGACAACTTTCCTAACCCCTCCAGCAAAAGATATACTTTAACTTTGACATCGGTGAGTTCTTGAAATATATACTTTGTCAATACTTTTTGTATATTGCGCAATACAACTTGATGATTTTTTTAGGTCACCTGAGTAAACTCAGGTGACCTATTGCTATCTGTTTTCGTCCGTCGTCGTGCGTCGTCCGTCGTGCGTTAACATTTGAACATTTTCAGCTTCTTCTCTGCAACCACTGAACCAATTTCAACCAAATTTGGTACAAAGCATCTATGGGTGAAGGGGAACAAAAATTGTGAATTTCATGATCCCTGCTCTCCTGGGGCCTGAGGGGTGGGGCCAAAACCACTAAAATTAATGCAATGTTTAAAAATCTTCTTCTTTACTCCTGGACATCAAGCAGTCAAGCCCCGTGGGAATCCGGGTTAGAATAGGCCCTCAGTACCCCTTGCTTGTCGTAAAAGGCGACTAAATGGGGCGGTCCTTCGGATGAGACCGTATAAACCGAGGCCCCGTGTCACAGCAGGTGTGGCACGATAGAGATCCCACCCTGCTCAAAGGCCCTGAGTGCAGAGCATGGGCCTAGATTTGCAGCCCTTCACCGGCAATGGTGACGTCTCCATAACAGTGAAATATTCTGGAGAGGGACGTTAAACAGTATATAATCAATCAATCAAGCAGTCAAACTGTTTGCATGATTGTAATCAGCAATGAGTCCTCTACCAAAATTGTGAAATTCATGGCCCTGGGGTCAGGAGTTCTAGTGCTAGGGCGGGGCTAAATAAGTAGGTAGTGAAAATGCATTTATTTATTTCTTTGAAAATCTTCTTCTCTGCTCCCTGGTATTAAATAAACCGACTAAGTACATAGTTATGATGAGCAAGAGTGCTTCTACCAAAATTGTGAATTTTATGGCCCCAGGGTCAGAGATTCTTGTTTTAGGGCAGGGCTCTAATGATTATATAGTGAAATACATGAATTCTTTGAACATCTTATCCTTTGCTCCTGGTTAATATACTAATGATCTAATTACATATTTAAGGCCAGGATTTATTTTAAGTTTTACAAAGCTCAAGGTTTTGAATTTTCAGAAAAAAATAAAAAAAAATTTTCCGATGTCAAATTTGAGTCGGGATCGAGATTTCAAATTTACGAACTCGCACTTCCGGTAATAAGATGAAACGGCGGGTAAATAAAGCTAGATCTGAGAAGATAGCTTGGTTTAGTGTAAAATTCATCGATAAGAGTGCCATTCAAAACGTTTCACCCGTTCAAAGGACAAATAAAATGCGGACGACTTTGTTGCACAATAACATGCTGGTGAGATAATTATGTATTCGTTTCAAAGTATCTGTCTGTAAATTATTTTCCTCCCCCAGGTTTTAAACTGCCCATGGTAGCTATTGCATATTGCCAGCGACATTGTTTAGGTCTCTGTTATAGCTTACAGTCTAAGCCTCATTCTTCAGAAAAGGGTTGCTTATGCATCAGATGTAATGAATAAAACTATGGGAGAAGTTTAGTCCATTTGAGGATGAAATGAACAATAACCCGAAGAAATAAAAAACAAATTCAACTATTAAAAGGCAAGAATATACAAATATATACAGGCATGTAGTATCATTTGTATCAGCCAGAAAAATTATTTTACACATAATTGAAAAAATGTTCACCCTACTCCCCAATACTCCCTGTCTGTTTTATGATAGGAATTATAATTTTAGGCATCAAGTAAATTTTAGAACAATGTCTACACATTCACCTAACACATATTTAAAAGGTGATTCAGAAGATATATTGAAAGACTTTTAAAGAATTGATTTTTAAAAATATATTTTGACCATCATCACAAAATTTATCTAACTGGCCCAAACTGGCAAATGATGACATAAGCAATTAAATGTTCTACTTTCCTATTTGTAAGCATTATGTGTCCAGTGACAAGGAGCCTATTAAAATAGCATAAAAAAGAATGTACAAATGTTAATAATTGATTTATCAAAAAAAAAATTTTATTTCCTTCTCCTTTGGGACTTTTTTATTCTCATATTCATAAATAAACCTAAACATAAAAAAAATGCTGGCCAAAGGGGCCTCTTTCAAAATAGATAATTTCAGGGCCGCTGGGTCAGGGGAACCAGGGGTGTACTTTGACTAAAAGTAAATTAAAGCTTTGAAATCTGCTCTTTGATAAGCAATGGTGCCTCCTTCAAAATTTGTGAATTTCATGGCTTTTGGATTAAAACACGAACCAAATACAATTGCTGGAAAGTTGTTACATGATACTCAGGTGACCTATAAGGCACGTGGGCCTCTTGTTTTATTAACAGGTTACATATAATGACACCGGACGCTATGTATGTTTGTTGGGAAATGGTATCGCTAATTTAAAAGGAGAAATAAATCAAACTGCAAACGTAGATCTGGTTGTTCAAGGTAATTTTAGTTTGTTATCTTTATATTTAATTTAATTTACAGATTTTCAAACTTTCAGCAGTATATAAATATACAGCTTGCAGTTGAATGATTTTTTTTTCATTTTCACGCGGTTTCTAGCGAAACCAAGGATCCTTCAAACAAAACCTGAGTATCATTGCAAAGTTGGAAAGAATTTTAGTTTACAATTCGAAATTATCGGAAATCCAGCTTTTCATTCTTTAATTGTCAACGAGGGGGAAGCTACTAATCGGTTTAGAAAAGTAGAGACAAAACGCCCAGTTGCTGTTAACATTTATAACACAGTTGTCCACATGGATGGAACGATTGTGAAAATGGATTTCGATCAAATAAAGAGCAAGTTCAGAACAACCTACCAGTTAATTGCAGAAAATCTAATGGGGAAAGCAACACACCCCTTTGTGATTGAGGGACATGGTAAGATAAAAAAAAATTGATTTAAATTTCAACTTCATTATTTTATAATAACTTACTGAAATTTTTTTTTGCTTTTTTTTTTAAATTTCCAGATTTTCCAAGTGAACCTTTCCATATTCATTTTAAAGAATTTGAATCTTCTGCTTTACTTGAGTGGTCTGCCCTTACTCCAGATTTGGACATGACGTATGAAGTTATTGTAAAGTCCCCAAGAGAAGTCGATGTTGAACGCATTGAAGGAAATAATTCTGAAGTTTATACACACAAGTTGACACATTTGGATTTAAAGTCTATTTACATTCTTCAGCTGTGTACAACGAACGCGATTGGTAAAAATTGTAGTTCAACATTTAAAATGAAAATGGGTGAAATACAATCAACATCCCTTAAAGGTACGGCAAATGTTTCTATTTTTCAATTTTTGGAGGGGCGATTGTTCTTGTATGTTTGTTTGTTTGTTGTTTTTACTTTCATGTCTTAATTTAGAGATAGTCGTCGTTATCTGATTACTGCGTAAAACAAATTTTACGGGGAAAATATAAAGCAAATGACTTACTGAGAATTATTTGTAATTCCGAGGTAAATATGTGTACTTCCGTGGTTATTAATTGTACTTCCGTGTTAATAATTTGAATGTGCTTCTTTTCCTACCAAGTGTCTAAAAAGCATATTAAAAGCATAACAAGAAACATATATTGACGCAAGCGTCAAAAATCGGCCGCAAACCAATTAATTGTTCCTTTCATGAAGCAACTAAAGACTGAAATGGTGATCTGTTTTAAAATATCTTATATTTATCTGTTAATATATATCCTCGTGACATTAAACGCTTGTGCACGACATTGCATGATTTTCTTAATTATATATGCATGTTCAGTATTACAGGTATATATAAGCAAAGTACCCCTGGTCCTCTGCGTCAACAAACCACGGGCCTGTATAATTAAGAGGCATTTACATTAAAAGTTTAAAACTAAAGTTTAATGTAATCTACAACTAGATATGCAGTGTAGTTTTAATTTAATAAAAACGCAACAAATATGTGGAGCTCCTTGCTCTCTCTTAGACTTAGAGGAAAAAACTAAACTCCCTCTAGATCCGCCACTACATTTCTTCTCTTTCAGTTTCTTTGAGTTGTAGCGGGAAAATACTTGGCACATTGTAAAACGTGCATTATCCTCGTCTGCTAGGGCCAAATCTTGTAATATTCTGTAGCCTGCTAGGTCTTTTGATGAATTAACATTTAACCATTATTTTTGAAATTTTTTATAAATGTACATGTGTACACGTCATTTTAAAATAAATACGTACAACAAATCCTGTTTAAATAGAGAAAGTAAAACTGTGCAATATCTTTGCTTTAGACTATGCTCAACACATGTCCTATTTTTCTCCGCACCTCAAACTTGTCTAAGTTTCTCAATCAGGATTGGATGAAATATTTACCTCATTCTTTTAAAAAAAAATAATTTTATGTTGATTGTGTGTTCTTGTTAAACATTTAGACGCTCGTTTTAATATACTATTATATTAATGTTAAATATTTTTATTTAAATTGTTTTAACACCGCAGAAACGCACAGCAACTTCAAACTTTCATATCATATAACCGACCGCCTCCTGGCGGCCGGTAATAAGAACATTTTTGATAATATAACTCGTTCTTCTTTCAAACTTACTTAAAATAATTGAATCAAGTCGGCAGTTATTCAATAATAATGAAATTGATAAGAGAAGTAAATATATCTATGTTAAATAATTTAAGTTTCAGCCAATGAAATGTCGCTGTCAGAGACCACTTTAATTGTCATTGTCGTCATTGGCGGTGTCGGACTCGTGTCGATCCTTGTCTTCATTCTGATCGTCAAAAAACGAAAACCAAGAAAAAGAAGTAAGAATGTGGTTCCACTGCTGAAATACAAAATAAAATAAACATTTATTTTATTTGAACTTTTTGCATTTTTTAAAATATAATTTTCAGCCTCAAGTCTTCTGTCCCTTGAAAGGTAGGGATTATACGTATACTAAGCAGATATTCATTTTATTTAGTTAACTACCATGAATATATTATTCTTTTTTGTTTTATTCTAATTTTTAAAAAAATATTTTGGCAAGTTGCCTTTTAGGAGATTTATCAGGGAAATGATTGATTGATTGTATATTGTTTAACGTCCCTCTCGAGAATTTTTCACTCATATGGAGACGTCACCGTATGCCGGTGAAGGGCTTCAAATTTTGACCTTTACTCGGCACTCAGGGCCATTAAGAAGTGAGGGATCTTTATCGTGCTAGCGCCTGTCGCTTAAACGGGGCCTCGTTTTTTAAGGTCTCATCCGAAGGACCCACAACTTTCACTTCAATGTGCCGAGCGCATGGCGAAGGAACAGTTGCTACCCATTTTAACGACTAGGTCAGTCGCGGCCGAGATACGAACTCGCGACCTCCCGATCACGGAGCGAGCGCTCTACCGACTGAGCTACCGTGAACGGTCAGGGGAACTGAGGTTGAATTTGGAAAAAAACGTTTAAATCCATTGTTCTATAATAATTGTTTTTAAAATGGAAGATTCTGCGAACCACCATGCCGATGCCTTAAAATTTGTCAATAAAGACATAAATGATGTAAACAGAAGCATCAAAATATGAATGGACATCACCAAAAAGTTATTTTAAGTAAATTGTCGACAAGTATACCCCTGGGCACAAAGAAAAGAATCAAGTCAGTCCTATCCATTTTACTGTTGTTAGATTTACAGCAACCATTAAGTTGATATAAAAAATATTTTACTTAAGTATCATGTTTTTATTTGTAATTTGATGTTATTCTAGGTATAATGAATCTATGGGGAGAAATAGCTACCTTACGCAAAAGATGACAAATGGTAATAATTTTCCTTTACTTTTCGATAAAAATATATATACTTAGTAATTTATAATCTTTAAATGGAGCACTTCATCGAAAGGAGATCAAAATAGTCTGAAAAAGGCCACAACCACCCAGCCCTCTTCAGTATAGCACTTTATGTAATGTTTTTGATTTATTGTTTTGATACGAAACTTTTAACTTAAAAGTATTAAAACTGTTTATTTCGAAGAGCTTGGACTACAGACACTTTGTTAAGTAATAATATTATTGCTTTCGTATTGAGTAAATTTTTCTGAAATTGTAGACTTTGATACCGCGGGAAGTAATGGTGAAAGGTATGATTGTTGATGTTAGAACTTAATTATACAAAATACATATATTTCAATTTGAAAAAAGCCATAAATTCCACAAACATCATTAATTTATGTCTTCAATTAAAAAAAATTGTATGTAAGGATGTTGATTATAAAACGTTATCGATTTTCTTTCTGAAAGCGTGGCCCGTTCACCTGAGACCTACCTGACTCCACAATGGATGACCTCGCCGCAGTCGGATTCATGTAAGTAATAAAAAATCATAAGGAATTATGAAATGGAACGCTCGTTAGTTAAATACTTGATTTTTGAAATGGGGAAGTATTGAAATAAATGAAGTAAAATCATTTTTAGAATTGCATGTACTTTTTAAAATTTGCAGCTTCATTGATGATAATCTTCATCTTTTATAAGACCTTTTAATACTGCAATAAGCAGTGAATATATAGTGATTAAAACTGATAAAAAAGTTCAATAAAAATGTAATAATTTTTTTAGTTTAATATAATATTTATAATTATATAGTTCGCGTTTTTTTACTTGGACTTCGAGACAGCAATTTTTATTCGGACAAGGAATCCATTTTCATCTTTTTTAAATATAACATTTAGCAACAATTACATTTATGTAATAAAAATCAAAATGATATGTATTTTAGCTTTACGTCAAATGAGGTGAGTGAGAAAGAAAGTAAATATGTCAATCTTCGATTTAAATACATGTAAGCATGTTTTGCATAACTTGAAAGTTAACCATATTCACTTCTCTTATTTGCATCCTAAAGTTAGTCTCTTCTTGTTAAAATAAAAAGAATAAAATATTTATTCCTTTAGATATATTTTCATTCTTATGTCGATACGATATATCCTGGTGAGCTTAGGATAAAGATATCAAGGAGGCTGATACATATGTTCCATCGATATTTTACTTGAAAAAGACGTTAATGGTAATCTAATAACTAATATCTGTGATAAACGTGATGAGTTTAACTTTTCAATTCTCAACTTCCCTTATGGTTGAGTTATGGAGCAATATACCTTCATCACCTGCATACGGAGTTTATATATCTCAGTTGATTCGATACGCAAGAGCATGCTCTACGTGTGAACAATTTCTTAAACGAGGTAAATTTTTGACAAACAAGTTGATGAAACAAGAATATCAGCAGTCTCGCTTAAAGTCTTTATTTCGTAAGTTCTATGGTCGATACAATGACCTTGTTAGCATGCTTACTGACGTTTTTCATACTAATTACTATTTTTAGTCCATTTTTATACACTAAATTGACGACGGATTTCCCCGTTATTTCCTGATCATGACAAGGAGCACACGGCAGGTCGACAGGGGATTCTCACTCCTCCATTGCACTTGACCCCACCTCTGATGTTTTAGAGGTCTATATCTACTCAGCACCTATTTATACCCCAGCTCCGAAGGAGAGGGGGGTATACTGTTTAACCCTTGTGTGTCTGTCCGTCTGTCTGTGTGTCCGTGTAGCTGTATGTCCGTCCGTAACAAATTTTCGTCGCAGTTTTCTCAGCAACTACTCATCGTAGATGATTGAAATTTTAACACAATCTTCTCTGAGGCATGCCATATAGTGGGATACATTTTCGCTCAAATCCGATGTCAATTTCCTATTTGTCTGTGCGTCTGTCTGTTTCATACATAACAAATTTTCGTCGCAGTTTTCTCTACAACTACTCATTGTAGATGCTTGAAATTTTAACACAATCTTCTCTGAGGTATGTTATATGTTGGGATATATTTTTGTGCAAATCAGATATCAACTTCCTGTTTGTGCGTCTGTCCGTTTCATACATAACAAATTTTCGTCGCAGTTTTCTCAGCAACTACTCATCGCAGGTGCTTGAAATTTTAACACAATTTTCTCTGAGGTATGCCATATGTTGGGATAGATTTTTATCTAAATCCAATGTCAACTTCCTGTTTGTTTGTGTGTCTGTCCGTTTCATACATAAAAAAATTTCGTCGCAGTTTTCTATTAGCTATTTATAGCAGTTGCTTGAAATTTTATTACACTCTTTGTTGAGGCATGCCGTATGGTGGGATTAATTTTGATATGAATCTGATGTCAACTTCATATTTTTCTGTGCATCTGCCTGTATTTGGACTTGTGTAACAGTATATTAACATGATAGTGCTTATTTACATCAGAGCGGGGGTATTACTAGTGAGCACTGGTTCACAGATTTCTTGTTTGTATTGTTTTATGGGTTTTTGATCTTGAATACTGTTCGTGACCTTATATTTCATGCAAAAGTACAATTAAATGTCATCATCAATCAATAAAATTTTTTCAGGAAATAGCCTTTCCCCTACAAACTAATTTCACTTTTTGATTCTACAAAAAATTAGCTTGTGTATAAAAATAATTATTATGTGAAAACTGAGCTACATCGGTATAATATATGATTTTTTACACTGCATTTAGGCAAAAATACAAATATTGCCTTATTTTCTTGACATATTTTTTGCTTTTTTCTATTCTGATAACAGGTATCTCAAAAGTTTCTGCTGTCAATCAATTTAATTATTATTTCAAAGTTTCATATCTATAAACAAGCCAATTACAATCAAAATATATAAGTTCTGTCATATTAATATTCAGATTGTATTGTTTGAATGGACTTTTGAGCTTTAATACTTTTCGGTATCTCTATATTTTTCACGTTTCTTTACCCTGTCATCAAATATATTCTTAAGTGTTTTTTTTTCATTTATTTCACTTTGTTTCAAAGTTCATCAAAGTTCAAGTTAATCACTCTTTTGTTTCTGACACTGTTTGAGTATTTAATTATCTATTTTTTTAAAGATCAGAGGGAAATGAATATGCGAGTGTCGATGATCCAGCGATCCTGAAAATGAGCTCGCAGCGAAAAGGTACAGTGGCCCTTTCTCCAAATATTTTACGACTAAGATTAAAATCTACTTGTTTGTAATTTTGATTGATTGATATGATTTTTTTTACACATTTTTTTACATAGTTGTGTAACGTAATCGAAAAATAAGAGTTTTGTGATCTACTACAATGTAGATACTTCGCGGAGAATTGGAAAACTCTTATATTGTCGTAAGATTTTTTGTGAAAAGGGACTCAGGTACTGTATATACCGATAATGCATGGCTAACCTTTAGTGACATAAACTCTCCTATACTCTTTCACTTTTAAATATATTTTTGAGATCAAAGGAGTATAAGCGAAAAAAAAAATCTTATCAATTTAATTTTCTGCTCATTTTTTTTTCGTTTCAGATAATGGAAAATTCCAGTTAAACGGGTATTTTTTGTTTATAAATTGCATTTTTTAACACATATTTCTTGCTAGATAACCAAATTATGGAGTTACATAAAATTAAAATATTTTAACATTTTATTCATTAGTGGTTTCTCCATGAGTCCACAACTTCCACGTCGATCTTTTAACAACGTTGATCCTCGAAGTGATTACTTGACGATGGGCAGGGATTTAGAAGGTGAAATGGAATTAATTTCATTGTTTCATTGACCACTTTTTACAGTTAACGCCTTAAAGTTTTCAATTATCTAGATATTAATGATTTTCCGCATTTGATTCTGTATGAGTCAAATGACGTTTTCATGTTCAAATATTTTTTTCACAGGTGCTTTTAAGTCACAAACGTCTTCAAGGTATATTTTTATTTTGATTTTTTGTAAATAAATTTTATTTACTATATTAAATTAAACATCGTAGTTGTTGACGTAATAATTTTTATTTCAGTGTGGAGAATAAACTGTACCAAAAACCGACTGGCGAAGGTTTCGAATTTACCCAGTACTTGACTGTTGGTGATGAGAATGGTATGTTGTTATCACATAGAATGTATAATTCAAAATTTCACATGTAAATCAGCGTTCATTATGCATATTAAATTCTTTAATGAAATCAAGGAAGGAGATTGTTAATTATTGTTTTTTTTTCACATTTGCTTGTCAGAACGTGTAAACTTGGAGGTGCAAAGTGGTGGTTACAGTGAAGTCAACTATCGGAAAAAGTCGGTACCAAAGTGATGTCGCTTTTTATCGCACGTTCTGTCAAACTGTAGACTGTACGTTGGTAAACTAGATCCTTTTTTCACAAATTAAACTTGTAGACTACGTAGAAAATATGTCAAGGGAAAAAGTTTTTTTTAAATACTGTGGAAAGCCCATTATTGGTAATATCCTTGACAGAAACTGGACATTAAGAAAAACATTCAGATGTTGGTAATATAAACAAAATGTTCATGACTTTTAAAGATACATGTAGGGAAAAAATCACAGTTCATAAAATGTGAGAATAACATTTTTTTATAATTTAATTTTTAGCACATTTAATTTGGAAAAAGATTAAATCCATTTCGTATAACATAAGTTGCCTACGTCACAATCAGATACGTTAACAACGTATTACTCTGCTTGACGTTACTTTTAAAAATATGCTCAATTTGAAGCCTTAACTTTAGGAAAATTTGTCTGATTGTCTTCACTGAAATAAAATTATAAGGAATGAAGCTTATTTTAACTTACCAGGTATGTTATACGATATAATAGTTTACGTTTTTCTTTAAATCGGTTGATAAAAAAGGGTAAACTGCAAAAGTTATTTCATACAATATAAGTTTAACAAACACCATTCCTTAAATGTAGAAAAAAAATCTTTCAAATTGGAATTTCATGCATATACATGTATTCCGTGTCAATTTTTCAGCTCTACTGGTCATAGACCAGTTCAAGAGCTTATGCGATAGAAAGGTGTCAATCGTCCGTCCGTCTGTCTATAAACAAGTTTACAAAATGCTACCCGTTCCACAGTTTTGATCTGATTTCAATATATCTTGGTACACAAGTAGACTACACTAAGATGCATTTTTTGCATCAGTTTTTGATTTCCTTTTACGGTGTTTCCATGATTACTAAAAATAAAAATTTCTTAGCAATTCCTTTTAAACGCAATTCCTCTTAAATTTTTTGTCTGTTTTCAATATAACTTGGCACACAACTAGTCTACATAAGATATATAATTAAGTGAATCAGTTTTTGATTTCGATGAACGGTTTTGCCATGGTTACTAAAAATAGAAATTCCTTTAAAACACTACTCCTCCTTCAATTCTGGTCAAATTTAAATATTTTGTGGCACACAAGTAGACTACACTAAGATACATAATTTTATTTATTGCTGTCTGTTGCAAATTTTTAAAACCAAGTACTACTTTTCCTTTCTTATACGTACAGAACAGTAGAGCTACCGTCTCATTAGAGACTCCTGGTTTAAAATGCAACTTTGTGTAACAGTGAAACAAATACAGCAACTTCAGTATTTTACCATCAGACATAAAATTGCTTTGCATGCTGTAAATATTTTTAATTGGTACATGTATATTTATTCATCTAATTGAGACATGTCTGTATTACTGTATTTCTGCCATACTTTGTTCCATTGCAATTTCTTCTTTTTTGAAAATATGTAAATAAAGCATATGAAAAGCTCTAGAAAGTTGGTATGTTTTGTGACCGATACACTAACATACGTAATTCATGCATTGTCCGAATAACTCACATATGCGTTCTAAGTTGCTAAAGAGGTCTTAGAAACCGAAGCCCTATCTGGAAAATGTTCACAAGATCTCTGAAATTAAACTACATACAATCTGTATGTTTATAAAGGCTCTTTAATAAACATTAAAAACTCTCATAAGTAATGTCTGTGTAAATCATTAACTTGGACCTCACGGGGACGTGATGGGGTCATGAAGAGGGATCATGCTTTGTATTGAAATAATGTAAGGGAAAAATCTAATGACATTCAAATATTGGTCGGTCATGACAACTTGATAAGTTAGCATTTGATATATGTATAAACATTTTTCCTTCCCTGGCAAATTTTCGCATAACATGGGTTTTATATCAAATATTGACTCTAAATTAATCACTTTCAACTGGTGTGGACAATATTTGCATTCGTATGAAGCATTATTTGTCCAAAATCTTACACGTGAAGAGGAAAACACTTGGTGTGGCCATCAACTCGACATTTAAATATATCGACGATGTATTTTCAATTACCAATGGTTATTTTCATTCTTATGTCGATACAATATATCCTGGTAAGCTTCAGATGAAAGACACCACAAAGCCTGAAATATCTGTTTCATAATTGGATATTTTACTTGAAAAAGACTTGAATGGTCATCCATCAACCAAGTTCTATGATAAACTTGATGTCTTTAACTTTTCAATCGTCAACTTTCCTTACTTATGCAGCAATACCCTTCATCACCTGCATACGGAGTTTATATATCTTCACTGATTCGATACGCAAGAGCATGCTCTACTTATGAACAATTTCTAAAACGAGGTAAATTATTGACAAACAAGTTGATGAAACAAGAATTTCAGCAGTCTCGTTAAAAGTCATCATTTCGTTCTATGGGCGATACAATGACCTTGTCAGCAAATGCATTTAATCATTGAGTCAATGCTGACTGACGCTTTTCATATGGAAAGAAGACATTAAATACAAGATGTACTGTATCAGGACTTTGACCTTTCTTAAAAGTCAAATCAAGAATAAACATGATTCGACCACAATTTAAAGGGGCCTGGACACAGTTTCAGCCAAAAATTTTCATACCATTTTTTAGGTTTAGAAACACTTAAGTAACTAAAGGTATTTCTAGTGATAAGCAACTTTTTGAATTTTAGTTGTCGAGTTACAAGACAGATTTACAGCTCCAAACCTTTGTTATGTAAACAAGGCCCAAGCCATGTTTTTGTTTACATAGGTTAAACATGCTGATAATTGTTCGTCAAAGCAGATTTTTTCAAGAAAGAAGTTAATTCTAAATATAATTAGACATTTTCTAACGATTTGCTGAATCTCATTTGTTATAAACATGATATTTTCAAAATGTAAACAAAAACAAGGCACAAGCTTTGTTTACATTCTAAAGAATTCTTAGTCCTATACCTCCTTTGTAAATTAACAAATGATGTATAAATTTTTGCTGATCATTAGAATTGCCCTAGTTATGAATTGTAAAAATTAAAACTGGTATTAATAACAAAAAAATTCAGCTGAAACTGTGTCCATGCCCCTTTAAGAACCCTTTGACATTTCGATTTCAAACTTGGAACATGCAGAGAATGATCTTGATCCAATTATTATAATGGTAAGGTCAAACTTATACATCAAAATAGAGCCAAGGCCATACGACAAAGTTTTATTGTGAAGCGCTAGCAAAACCAAAACAAACAAGAAGTCTGTAAGCCAATGCTCACTAGTAATACCCCCGCTCTGATGTAATATACACATGTACAGTGACGGACAGATGCACGGATAAATTGGAAATTGACATCAGATTCATATAAAAATAACATGTAACATGCCTCAGAAAAGATGGTGTTAAAATTTCAAGCATCTGAGACGAGTAGTTGCTGAGAAAACTGCGACGAAAATTTGTTACTGGCGGACACACGTCCGACTGAAGGTCCGGAGGATCCGGTTTTCATCATCAATTGAAAAGTAAATCATTCAATTTCAAAAATGATATTAAAATTAGGCGAGTATGCAGTTCTGAACCATGAAGTTTAACAAGAAAACTTCCAAAATTGGTTAGGTAGAGAGGAAGCTCCAAGCGACAAACGCATGTACACGACAGGATCATAAGTATGCCCAATAAAAATTTAAATAAAATATGTTTATTAACAAAATTGATGACACGGCAACTCACCTTTTTAACCAATTCAACAAAACTGCACTTGAATTTCCATCCATTTGGTTTGTAAACAAACCCCTGACGAAAAGAACATTTACAAAATTTGTACATTTGCCAAAACTAGTGAAATCTATGCTACATTGAGGACAACGCTAGTCATGAAACAAGGCACATAATGTTCATGTCAGGGCATATACATGAATCTTCCATAAGATCGTACAAGACACTGTTCACCGCAGCAAAAAAAGCACTCTGTGCCAAAATTTCAAAAATGACAGATGAAAACTTTCCAAAACATGAGACATCAAATGCTGTTCTTGACGTTAGCTAGGTTCCGATGACAGCACCTCTTTTTAACCACTCCCCCCCCCCTCCCATGCGGAATTCTGCAACCTTCTTCAGTTGAAAATACTCAACAAATGATGACAAGAAACATATTGATGCAAGCGTCAAAAATCGGCCGCAAACCAATTTATATAATTATTTAAGTTCCTTTCAGAAACTGAAATTTGTATGAGCTGTTTTTTAAAAATATCTTATATTTATCTGTAAAAATATCCTCGTGACATGAAAAAAAAATGCATGCGACAATGCCGATTTTCTTCATGCATGATGCATGTACAATATAACATGTAAAGGCAATTAAACTGTGCATAGTTTTCTGCGTCTCTGCACTCAGTTTGGTACAACACTTAACAAATTCTGGTGGAAGTTTGCTATTTACGTAGTTTTTGCATAAAAAGTACTATTAGTGGCTTGGTCAAAAAGGGATAAGTCTAATAATACTGGTGATGTCTTTATTGATGGTAACATCAACGTAAGAACTGTAAAAACAAATACAAAATTTATCAGTAATTATTACATAACAAGAAAATCTAAAATTACATAAAGTACACAAACATGCACTAAGATGACCCTTTGGTATACATACACATGTAGACTAGAGTTCAATATTCAATAATATCAGCTAATTGACTAGTAATATGTAATATGAATAACATCTATACGTTTAATTTAATTCACTACTTAATCTCAATAAAATATTACCAGTGACAATCAGAAAATATGACTCTGCTACTTCACTTAAAACATGTAAACAAACTTGGCGCCTTGCCTTACATTACCGTACAAAGGGCAATAACTCTAAGTTGATAATCACACAAAATTCCATGTGCACAACAAATAATCTCACAACCGACAATTTACATAATGAATCAGTTCTATTTAATCATTAAATTGGTATGATATATAAAATACAAACTGCTATGGGACTAATAATTATCAATCAAAATTTCACTACACGTGGGTCAAAATGGCGCCATGTATAAAACCACACTAGCCATGCTTGTACAAAAATGCTCTACATACAGAGTAATCGTTATAAATATGTAAAATCAGAAACATTAACTAACAAGATCAGGGACGTTAAACGTTACTATGAGCATATGAATACATAATTGCTAATTACCTTGTTCTCCTGACCAAGTCGCTAAGTTCTTTTGACTATCGTTCTGCGTTAACGTTAATGGATGTACAGAGATGCTGGGCGGAAATTACGTAATATACAAATAGTAGCCGGACCCAAATATAAGAAGATTGCCTATCCGGAATTATTTACCAAACATTGTTACACATATGTGATTTACAAAAAATATTGCAAATAAAATAGACTCCATTAAAATTATAGTAAAATAAAAATTATGACATTTACACTCCCACCAAAATCAGCATGATTTTAGACATTCAAAGTATCAATAAAGGTGTTAAGCTTGCAATCTACATATCGTCTAGAATACAACATACAACTATAACATAGCAGTTACATTAATTTGCAATGAGTAGCACAAGCTTGTGAACTGTTCTCTCCAGGACTCCAGACTGCATTTTCACCTTGACTCTCCGTACAAGACCATCATCATCTGGGTTGGCTTCGACAACTCTACCGAGAGGCCATTGGTTGCGTGGCAGGTCAACGTCCTTCACCAGAACAATGTCACCTTCCTTGATGTTCCGACGAACTCCATGCCACTTCTGTCGTAAGGTGATCTGAGCCAAGTACTCATGTCTCCAACGGGACCAAAATTGTTCCATAAGGTACTGTACACGTCTCCAACGTTTACGGACATACATGTCTTCCTTCACGAACTCTCCAGGAGGGGGAAGGGGAGAAGTGGTCTTCCCAGTTAAGATGTGGTTCGGAGTAAGCGGCTCCAGTGAGTCTGGGTTGTCTATCTCACTAACCGTTAGTGGGCGACCGTTTACAATAGACATCGCTTCATAGAATATGGTTCTCAGCGAGGAATCATCTAGCCTTCCAGGACAAAGTAATAGTATGGCGTTGAGTATGTTACGGACGGTTCTTATTTGACGTTCCCACACACCTCCTGTATGACTAGCACTGGGCGCGTTAAACACAAATTCACAGTGTTTCTCTGCCAGGAATGAGCATATTCTTTCCTTGTTAAGTGCTTTCTGGAACTCATTCTTAGCTCCAATGAAATTGGTTCCTTGGTCCGAGCGCAACTGTCTCACGGTTCCTCTAATGGCGATAAAACAGCGCAAACCATTGATAAACGCATCAGTAGACATGTCATCTAACATCTCAATGTGGATAGCACGAGAGCACATGCAGGTAAATAGTAACCCATATCGTTTTATTTCCTTTCGTCCCTGTTTCACAATAAATGGGCCGAAACAGTCCATACCGCAGTATGTGAAAGGCAGAGATGGTTCCATACGCTCCTTGGGCAAGTCTGCCATTCTCTGTGTCTCTGTCGGTCGTCTCAACTTCCTGCATATAACGCACTGACGTATGTAGCTGGCTACTGTCTTACTTCCTCCTACAATCCAATAACCAAGAGACCGGAGCTTGTTCAGGGTAATTCCTCTTCCTTGATGAAAGGTTTCCTTGTGAGCATGTGAAAGAATCAAGTGCGTGATATGACCATTTCTGGGTAAGATTATTGGGTTCTTGTAAGCAGCAGACAGGGTTGCCTTCCTCAGTCGGCCTCCGACTCGAAGTATCCCATCTTGTAGAATTGGCTCTAGGGGTTTCAGGGAGTTAGACTTTGGTAGCCCTTCAGATTTCTCGAGAGCGCTGATAGCATCTTGAAAGGTTTCATGTTGAACCTGCTTGATGATAGTTTGTTCTGCTTGAAGTCTTTCATTCGGATTTGGTGGATAGGTTCCCTTGACACCATTGGCGAGTCTCTGCATTCTGGCGATGAAGGATATCATTTTGGTCCAAGATGAGAATCGAGACAGAATGTCAAGGATACTAGAATGAGCCTTTGATTTGGTGCATAGAGTTCTTGCAGATCTTACTTCAGGGTCTCCAAGTTGCAACTCTGTTTCAACACCTTTGCTTTCAATGATGGACTGCCATAGTAATGGAGGGCCGGTCAACCATGAAGAATCATTAACTTCAGATGCACGCAGTCCACGCGAGGCATGATCGGCTGGGTTGCTGGCAGATTCAATGTATAGCCACTGATGAGGTTTTGTTGCATCTCTTATCATCTGTACACGGTTTGCAACAAATACGTGGAACCTGCGAGCCTCGTTGTTGATGTAGCCAAGCACCACTTTAGAGTCTGTCCAAAAGTACTCTCTGTTGATAGGTAGATTCAGCTCCCTCTTCAGAAATAAACTGACCTTCACTGACAATACTGCAGCTGTCAATTCCAAGCGAGGTATCGTTACAACCTTTAGAGGTGCTACTCTTGCCTTTGCAATAACTAAAGCACAATGTACCTTAGTTCCCTTTACAACTCTAAGGTAAGAACACTGTCCATAGCCATTTGTGCTTGCGTCCGAGAAATGATGCAGCTCAAAGGTTATCGGTTTGCCAAAATCACTTGGTATGAGGCATCTTGGGACTTTGATGAGATCAAGGTTCTGTAGATCTTTGATCCAAGCTTCCCATTCAAGTAGTCTGTCTGCGGGTAGAGGGTCATTCCATCCTATGTTACCTTGACATATCTCCTGCAGTATTCGTTTCCCAGTCAGTGTGAAAGGGGAGAGAAATCCCAATGGGTCGAATATTGATGCTACAATGGATAGCATACTGCGCCTAGTAGGAGATGCATTCTGGTCGACAGCTTTGAAGCAAAATGCATCCTCTTCAATGTTCCACTTTATACCAAGTGCTTGTTCCATAGGTAATTGTTCATGTGAAAGGTCTAAGTCTTTAACATCTGCCGCTCTCTCTGATTCAGCAACAGAATTTATTACGTTCTTGTTGTTGGAAATAAATTTGTGTAGACGCAATCCACCATTGGCACACAGAATCTGTGCATCTTGTATCAACTTGATAGCTTCTTCTTCCGTCTCAACACTGGTGAGTCCGTCATCCACATAGAAATTATTCTGCACAAAGAATGATGCAGCTTGAAGTTGCTCTTCTTGGCTTTTGGCTAAGAACTTGAGTCCATAATTAGCACATCCTGGGGAGGAAGCCGCTCCAAACAGGTGTACTCTCATACGATATTCCTTGGGTTCTGCATCCAAGTTTCCATCCTCCCACCATAGGAATCGTAAGAAGTCTCGGTCTGCTTCATGTACAACAAACTGGTGGAACATCTTCTCCACATCACACATGACAGCCACAGGGTGTTGTCTGAATCTGCATAGAACCCCAGTCAAGGCATTTGTTAAATCCGGACCAGTCAGTAGGTATTCATTTAATGAAGCCTCTTTGAATCTTGCTGAACAGTCAAAAACTACTCTAAGCTTTCCAGGTTTTTTCGGGTGATAAACACCATGATGTGGGATATACCATGTATTTCCACTGACACCATCTGACGATACTGGTTCGGCGTCTCCTCTCTCCAATACTTCTCTCATGAAAGTCTTGTAATGTTCTTGATATGTCTGGTCTCTTTTAAGTTTTCGTTTCAGATGATTTAAGCGGATCAATGCAAGTGACTTGTTGTTGGGCAGGGAGGGTCGCTCCTTGAATGGCAGAGGCATTTCCAAATGCTTATCCTCATGCTGCTGTATGTTTTCTTTCATGAAGTTAAGGAAGGCGATGTCATCTTGAGATATCTTGATATCTTCATTCTTGTCATGAGCAAAGTCTTTCTCCAAAGTTTTTATGACATCCCTGGGTGTACAGCTATGCAGCTCCTTCACTGAAGTTCTGTGACAAACAACAGTAACGTCCGAGTCTGTGTGATCTGTGTATCCAACCACGCTCCAACCAAGCAGTGTCTGGATGCCATATGGCTGGTTCTCGTTTCCTGTTAGAGTTCTTTTTGGTACAAGAGCTTGAGGACAATTGTATCCAATCAAGAGTCCAACTTCACATGACTGAAGAGGTGGTAGTTCGTTGCTAAGCTCCTTCAGGTGTGGCCAGCACAATTACAGTTTTCCTTTCAGGTATATGTGAGCGATCCGCAGGAATGAAGTCTCTCGTATATGCATTATCTATCGTCACAAATTCGGTAGACTTGAACCCTCTCACTCTCAGGTTCTGTATACGGAAACTGTTAATGATAGTGTGCTGTGAGGTCATGGTAGAGAAGCTGAGACGTGTTGGTTGTCTATTCACATGCAAGGCAGCAGCCGTTTCGTCTAGCACAAAGGTAGTGTCACTTTGTGTGTCTAAGAGAGCATATGTCAATATCTCGTGCGAGGGGTTCTCCTGAACAGAAAGCCACACTGGAACGATCATGGAGGTGCTGTGACCATATCCTCTGCTCACACGAAAGGAACTGGCTTCCTTGACCTCTAATTGTTGCTTTCTTGTTGGTGATTCATCTTCATGCATGCAGGTTGGGTGTTTTCCCTTGCAGATACCACACGTATGCTTCTTCTTGCAGTCCTTGTTTCTGTGGCCCTTGCGTAGACATCCAAAGCACAGGTTTTTCTTACGCACTACCACTCGTTTATCCTCAATAGACAAGTTAATAAATTTCTCACACTTGAACAAGGGATGTCCTTCTTTCTCACAATAATCACATAAGTTGGGTCTCATGTCAGTTCCCGTTGCATTGTGCTGATGAGTTGAATTCGTTGCGAGGACATTTGCTTTGTGACTCGAGTTTTTGTGCTCTCTGGCAGGTTTAGTGTCAGTGTCCTTGAGCGCATAGATTGACGAGACTGGATTACAAGCAATGCGAGCCTCCTTTACAACGAAGTCCACAAACTTGGAGAATAATGGATATTCACCAGTAGAGTCAATAGTTTCTTGAACTTGACGATTCCAACGCAGTGCAGCCCAATTAGGAAGTTTGCTTAATAGTTTCTGATTTTCAGAGCAGTCGTCCAGAATTTTAAGGCTTGGAACCTGAGGCGTTGCATCTCGACAGGCTTGCAGAAAGTCTCCAAAATCTCTGAGAGCCTTTGAATTCCCTTCTGTGATTTTAGGCCAATTCTCTAGTCTCTTCCTAAATGCCTTCTGCATAACAAATGGGTGTCCGTATCTGTCCTGCAGGACTTGTCTGGCATGCAGAGCTGCTTCCACTGTAGAAGAATCCATCTATGGCCTGTAGTGCTTCACCCGCCACGTATCTCTTCAAATAGAATAGTCTCTCTTGCTCAGGAATGCCTTTACGTTCTATCAATGCATGAAAGGCTGTCTTCCATTCTACGAATCGAAGTGGATCTCCTGTGAACACTGACGGCTCAGGTATAGGTAGTCTATTAAGGTTCACTGAGTCCGCAAACACCTTTGCTAAGATACTTGTTGTAGAATCATCGTTTGTGGTGCTGTTCGAGTTGACTGTAGCGTTGTTAGTAGGTGGGTTGAACGGAGTATAAGTAGACCTCCCAGTGTGTGTAACGGTAGGATGAGTAGTAGACGTGACGACTGGTGTAAACAAAGGGTGGCTAACAATAGTCGGAACAGCCGGGGGGTCAGTTGGACGGCTTCTAAAGGAAGTGTCATGTTCAGTTTGACGTCTGCTTGTGGCTGCAGCAATGTTCACATCCCCCTGCATCAAATCCGAGTAGGCCTTGAGTCTTGCTTCTGCCATTGCAACTGATTTCTCTGCTTGCAATTTTCTCACTTCCCGCTGCTGAGTTTCTAGTAGTTTTCGTTGTTGCTCTTGCAGTGCTTCAAACTTTGTTTGCTGTTCCTCTTCTTTCTTTATCGACTCCAGTTGTACCCTTTTGGTTGCTACATCTGCGAGGGCATCCACGAACTTTGAGGCAGTTGTGATTTTATCGAATCACTCTCCGAGACACTAGACCAACTTAAGTCACTAAACACAGACCTAGCATACTCATTATGCTTTAAACCTTTACGACTGTCTATGGTGTCTTCAAATCCTGAGATTTTTTTCATTGATGAGATGAGTCATGTCTTTAGAAATAGCAACACAAGCGTCCACTTTCCGAACTACACTTTGGTGTGGTGCATTACATGAATTACGCAAATGTTCAAAAGCCTCTATGACCTCTCTTTCCAGCTTTAATATTTCGTCTAACATGTTTCCAAGATCTTCTTCACTGGACTCTATTTTCACATTTTGTCTACACTCTCTGACCTTGAACTTCCATCGATCGAAGCACAATTGAATCCTCTTTTCACGTCTCTTAGACTCCTGGTCCATGTAATCTAACATTCGGTCGGTGGGTTTATGTACCCGTTCAGACTTCCTCTGTCCCACAAGTAAAGTGTCTTTGTTTGTCGTTTGTTGTGTCTCATTATTCACTGGTTCGTTATTTTCGTTATTCATCGTTGTATCATAGTTTTCGTTGGATGTTGAACCATTAGCTGTATCCGTAACATCAGGCGTTGTACCATCCGGGGTCGTTTTGTCATCAACCTTTGACATCTTGATGAGACTGAAGTCAAGTTCTTACTGTTAGTGGCTTGGTCAAAAAGGGATAAGTCTAATAATACTGGTGATGTCTTTATTGATGGTAACATCAACGTAAGAACTGTAAAAACAAATACAAAATTTATCAGTAATTATTACATAACAAGAAAATCTAAAATTACATAAAGTACACAAACATGCACTAAGATGACCCTTTGGTATACATACACATGTAGACTAGAGTTCAATATTCAATAATATCAGCTAATTGACTAGTAATATGTAATATGAATAACATCTATACGTTTAATTTAATTCACTACTTAATCTCAATAAAATATTACCAGTGACAATCAGAAAATATGACTCTGCTACTTCACTTAAAACATGTAAACAAACTTGGCGCCTTGCCTTACATTACCGTACAAAGGGCAATAACTCTAAGTTGATAATCACACAAAATTCCATGTGCACAACAAATAATCTCACAACCGACAATTTACATAATGAATCAGTTCTATTTAATCATTAAATTGGTATGATATATAAAATACAAACTGCTATGGGACTAATAATTATCAATCAAAATTTCACTACACGTGGGTCAAAATGGCGCCATGTATAAAACCACCCTAGCCATGCTTGTACAAAAATGCTCTACATACAGAGTAATCGTTATAAATATGTAAATCAGAAACATTAACTAACAAGATCAGGACGTTAAACGTTACTATGAGCATATGAATATAAGCATACATAATTGCTAATTACCTTGTTCTCCTGACCAAGTCGCTAAGTTCTTTTGACTATCGTTCTGCGTTAACGTTAATGGATGTACAGAGATGCTGGGCGGAAATTACGTAATATACAAATAGTAGCCGGACCCAAATATAAGAAGATTGCCTATCCGGAATTATTTACCAAACATTGTTACACATATGTGATTTACAAAAAATATTGCAAATAAAATAGACTCCATTAAAATTATAGTAAAATAAAAATTATGACATTTACAAGTACAAAACTAAAGTTTAAACTTAGCTATAGTTTTACCTTAATAAAAACGCAACAAATATATAACATGTGGGGCTCCTTGCTCTCTCTTAAAGTATGTTACCCCCCCCCCCAAGTCCTTCTAGATCCACCACTACATTTCTTCTCTTTCAATCTCTTTGTTTTCGTGTTGAGATGTGTCGGGAAAATACTTCACTGTAGGAAAGCGGCTGACCGTAGTATATACTACGGTCATCAAAACATGTCGGCCGAGGTCACCGCTTAGAAATTTTCAGTCAAGATTTTAAACATTTGCTAGGTTATCTGTGTTAGTTCTTAAAAAATTTATATGTACGCTAATGAGAACTTGCTATAGGTTAGTATAATTTACCTGGATTTAAAGAAATAAAGCTGTAGTACGACCTCAAAGTTTTTGACAATGATGACCGTAACAAAATATTAAGATGACCGTAATATGGATTTCTCCCAAAGAAGTAGGATGACCGTAATATATAAATATAATCTAATGTGTTTTCTATTCTGTTGCAGAGGCAGACATATCATGTTATTTTTGTGTTAAAAAAGACAAAGATGTTAATGTAATTTTGAACCATAGCTATGGCACGCCAAATTCACAAAATGAAGTAAACAGAGTTTCACAGTCAATAAACTAGGTTTATTGCTTGTAAACTATAGTTTACTGACTATAAACTATAGTTAACAGCATTAACCTATATTTCACATCAGTAAATCATAATTAACGCGATTATGTATGTTTCACAACCGTAATCTATACTTAACACCGAAAACAATCATTTGCAATTGCAAAACATATATTACCTGATCAATACAGTTTCACGATTTGTAAACTAGGGTTTACAATTCTTAATTATAGTTAACGATCTGATAAATAAAGTTTCGCGATTTGTGAAACTATATATGATAAACAATTCTTACCTATAGTTTACGATTGTAAATTATAGTTTTCAAACGTGAATCTATGTTTTTCAACAAAATCTAATGTAAAACGCTTTATTAAGAACAGATAATCTTAGATTACCATTCGTAAACTATAGTTAATTAACAACCGGTAAATATAGTTTCACACATGAAAACTATAGTTCACAGTTTGTAAACTATAGCTTACAGTCATAAAACCTAGTTTATCAACTGTGAAACTGTGTTTTGCTCTTTTTTGTGAAATTGACGTGCCATACACTTAGCAAAACATCTAAGAATTCACTTTAATCAATATATTTATTTTAAAACTGTTTATAGAATGGTATGATATTTTCAAATTATTGCACAAATGAGTATTCTTAACAACAGTAGAAAGAAAATAAAGTATCACCGATGAAAACCAATGTTCCGTGACGAAGCTTACAGGCAATAAATAAATTCGTACTTTGCGTGTTTTGTGTAATTTGCATCTTTTTGTGATCGTTATCAAATTGAAAAAATGGCTTCACTAAAAACACAAAACTTCTGCAAAATGACCATTGACATAGAAGGTAGAGTCGTTGGAATGTTAATATCTGGACCATCTTTGCACAACATTTTACTCTTTTTTATTTTAATGCTTAATTATGTCGTCCCGAACGAAGTCGGTGACGTCATATTGCGACTGTACATACACAATTTTTGGTTGTCCAGGCTGTTCCTCAAAGATGGCGTGGACAATCTTTCAGAAACTTTTCTCAGGACGATCACTGCCAGTAGCTGTGCCATATGCAGGTCCAGTCCAAAGACTTTTTATACCTACGTAGGTATTAATAGCTACTTAGGTATTTAAAGCTACCCAAAGTAGCTATTTTTACCTACTTTCTGCTTTACTTGCATTTTGTGGCCAAATGCAGGAACGGCACAACATGGTGAGCACAAAATTTCTTGATACAGTCACGCTGATGATGAATATGTCAAAAATTTGGCCAAAAAATGATTACTTCGTATATATTGTCAATTTTAAAAAGAAACTAATGTAAAATTGCCGATTCAGGAAGTAATCATTTTTGGCCAAAAACATGAAAAATATGGTTTTCATCATGTTGCGCCGTTTAGTCCTTTGGTCGCAATATTCAGAAATTATATAAAGTAGATAAAAGTTGCTTCTTTGGGTAACTTTAAATACCTAGGTAACTATTAATTTAGGTAGAAATAGTCTTTCACTAACCTGGTATGGTCATTTAGTTTAAAAATGTCTACCATTGCCATGGAAACCTAAAAAAAATGCGACGAATTTTGTCCGGAAGGGTACTCTTTAGTCCCTTGAACATTCGTCATGAAACCTTTTTTTTAGTGATTAGTAATTGTAGTTGTGCGATTTGCATTCAAAATTTTCGGGACAACTGCACTTTACCGGTACGTCCAAATAACATGGAAATAGCACGTGTTCCTTCTCTATAAGAGAGTCACGCGTCAGCGTGACGATTTCGCTAAAAAGGCAATAAAATGCAAAAATAACCTATTTTTTGAATTCCTCGTCATTTTTCATGTTAATAAACTTCGTTTAATTAACGAAGTTATTAATTAAAACTAAAAGCACTTTCAAAACAAACCTTTGGCTTTCATTTTGTCGGCCACATTCCAAAGTCGTGACGTTGTTAAGCACGTGACTTATTTCAGTGCTGTGATTGGTCAGGGTAGGTGACGTGAAATAGAAAGTTTGACTTCCACTCTATTTGATTGTAAACAGTGATTCATCATGCACCTTATTTAAGATGATTTGTGTTGTGTTTTCTATGAATGGATATTTTTAATTGATTGACTGCAACAAGAATTTTTGGAAATTTTAACGATAAATGTGATCCTTAGTTTATGGAAATGTTGAATAAGTGGAGGGGCAAAACTTGTAAACATGCAGTGAGGACGGTCTTGTTTCGAGAAACAGCAATCGGCAGTATAAGAAAAATGAAACGTAAGAGTCACATCTTAGATTTCTGGAAACAGAGCTGTAAAATCCTGGATTTACGAACTAAAATTTATCTATTTCAATTTGCAAAACACTGGATACTTTACAATCATTGAGACCACATGGAATGCAGTTATATAGGAAATCTCTACTAAAACAAGAATGCACTAGGATAGTAGCTTTAATTTAAAATTGACGTTTATCTCCTTCATCACCCATAAAAACGTATTTACAACTCATCAAAAAAAAGACACAATGGTTCTACATGTATAGTGACACGTAGGTGTGGGTCTTAACGCAGATTTATCTAACGACTAAGGTAAGTTTGTTTTATTTATTTTTACCATTGCCATGGCCCCCACACCCCCGCTTAAAAAAGCGAAAACCCATTTAGATATCTTTTTTTCTCGCTTCGAGAGTTTCTTACACAACAAAATGGCGTCGCCCATCATAGTTGATACGTTTTTTTTTACGCCGCGCACTCTCACGCGTAATTAGAATCAAAATGGCGGCCGTACCGGTAAAGTGCATTCTATCCAAATTTTCAAATAATCGATTATTGCCATGGAGACTAGAGGAAGGTGAAAATTCTTTAACTTTGATTTTTAAATCAAAGAACTGAAAGGAATTATAAGACTTGATGGTTGTCCAATCTTAGCTAATAGGTACATGTATTGTTTTAGTGATACAAAAAATGAAAGTCTTGTCCGAAATTATCAATAGTTGCCATGGAAATAGGGGAACAGTTCGGGGCTACATATACGCCATTGCAAGCAATAGTAAACTCTCTAGTTGTACTTGATATTACTTTTAAAAAGTAACAAACAGTATCAAAACCCACTTAAGCACATATTTCTATATGTTGTGCGTCATTTTTCATCGATCACCAAAATAAAACAACTTGAAAGTTTTTGACAAATTCAACCAAACCGGAATTGACCTTGATCTTCGTCTGAGGACAAAATTACGCATCACACCGGGGTAAAAGGTTGGTAAATTGTCCAGAAACAATCTTCGGAACATGAAAACAAACAATTTCAATCGTACAAAAATGCTAAAAAAAAGGAAAAAAAATCCGTGCTCGTGACAGTTTAATATCAGTCCAAGTACTCAT